TAATTTTCCAAATTTTTGAAAAAATTTCCTGCTGAAAGTTATCGGTATTTAAAAAATCGAAGCACATTAATCTGATTCACATCAATGATGAGATGATTCACATCAAGAAATATTTTGTCCCTAAGTTACAAGATTTTTATCATATTACTATTATTTCATTTAAGGATTTATTTTTTGTCTGCGATTATTGCACTGCTAAAACGAAAAAATACTATCCTTTCACGCATGAAAAAATTAAATGGAAAAACTTTGCGAATTCTCCAGAAAATTCTATTGGAATTCTCTAGAAATTCTATAGGGATTCGATTAAAATTCTAGGGAATTCTCGTTAAAATTCTATGTTTTTTGTGCTGATTCCAGGAGATATTTGATAGGAAGAAGTCAATAGATTTCGATTTTTCTATATGAATACTCTCGTGGAATTTTTTCTATAAGAATACTTGGGCATGAATTTTCCAAGTTTTTTCACTTGGATCCCGTAATGCAAAACAAAATAAAATATAGTGGAAAAAAATTTGAAAATCCGTGTGCCATAGTTTTAATAGAAAAAATCTCAGGAGAAAAATTCAAGCAGAAAAATCGAAATCTATTGACTTTTTCCTATCAAATATCAAACAAATTGAATTTTAACGAGATTTCTCTAGAATTTCAATAGAATCCCCATAGAATTTCTCGAGAATTCAGTAGAATTTTCTAGCGAATTCGCTGTGGCTTTCTAGTCAATTTTTTCATAGGTGTTGTTCCGCGTAAATCAAATACTTTGACTAAATGACATTTCTTGTTTGCACAGAGAATGCAATTTTTTTTAAACTACTAAATCTATTTTTGCGACAAAAATTTTCCATCTCGATGGACTCTTTGCACGTTTGGCACAAAAAATAGTATTTTAATAATTAAAACAGACTATTTCTTTGACACGAGTAAGATTTTTGTTGAAGACCTCTGGTTTTTCTCTCAGTGTACAACTAGTCTAATTATTTTGTCAGATCACTGACATCGATAGAGCCATACGAATCCCTCCAGTGGTTCGACGCGATGGGCTACAAGCACTACCCCTCGGAGCCAGAGTTCGATAAAATGATAGGAGATCTAGTCTTCAACAAATTGAACATAACTCTCAGTAAACGACAGGTGGAACGCCTGAGCCGATTGAGACCAGGTCACGTCGAGACCGAGGAAGAAAAACGTGAATTCGAGATGGAGAATGTCTGGGCCCTAGTGCAGGAGAACGAGTACCTTATATCGATCCTCTACGAAGAGAGAGATCTCTTCCCAAGGCTCATCGGCACCTGTGGCAATTTTTATTGTGTAGAATACGTACGACCTCTTGAAAATCCAACGACAGCGCTGGCCATGTCAGACTCGGCTGGCGAGTGGGGAAAAAGGCTGAAAATGGCTGTGATGATTATGGATTTGATTGACGAGCTTGAGAGCAACTTTCCAGAACCATTTTACCTTTGTGATGTTAAAATAAATCATTTTGGCCTTGCATTTGGTGACTCGAGACTCAAGTATCTCGATTTAGATGCGGTATTTCCTAAGAGCATTGCGGCTCGATTGACTGCTGATGGAAGGGCCTGTGAGAAACACGAAGACTGTGATTACTTTGACTGCAGATCTGTCTGCTCTATTAATAAACGATGTGAGGCACCTGTGATGAATGATAATTTACAAGTAAGTGCAACAATTTTCTCGAGAAGAGCTAAAACTTAACTCTTTACATTTATTACAATGAGAAATTTATGTTCGAAATACGTGATTTTAGGAGTAAACGAGTGGCGAATTGCTCTTGTATTGCATATAGTAAAGTTATTTTTGCTAATAAATTAGCAATATACTTCCGAATGGTTATTTTGCACATTATTTCCTTCTCTCATGGATAATTGATTGTTTATTTCATTTGATTTGATTGAATAACGTTTCTTTTCAACGAATTTTGTCAATTTTCAACTTAGTTCAAAGGTGTCATCATTATTCTTATTATTCCTTTCTTCTATACGATCAATTGTCGATTGGGATTTTTCGTAGTTCTCTCTTCCCTCACCCTTCGATAAAATGTTACTAGAAAAATTTTACTTACACATAATTGAATGAATTTGAAACATCAGATTTGAATATAGCTATCATAATAATGTTTTAACTTCGACTTAATGGCACTAAAAAACACATTTTACACTATGATTGAATTCATTTGAAGCATGATATCCAAAGATATCCCGGGAATTCTGATTTTCAAAAAATACCGAATTTTTGAAAATATTCAAATAAATCAAAATAACGATTATTGCTATCGCCTTCATCTCCGAACTCGGTCAAAAGGACATCTAAACTAATTTTTTAAGCCATCATTCAATCAATTCAGAACATTTTTTTAAATCATCGTGAAAATTTTTTTTTTCAAAATTCAAAAAATTTTAAAAATTAATGAATGAATTAAATTTTATTTAATGGCGATTTATAGGGCCCAACAATACCTACATTTGAGGAAAAAAAGATTCAATTCCATCGATTCATTAGCGAACAATCGAAGAATAGTATATTTCGACACATGTGTCGAACAGATCTTACGGGAGAACGGTTCACTTCATACGAAAGTATCAAAATTTGGCTTGATAATTGGATCAGCTCAAAAGACCAGGATTTCTTCAGGCAAGGAACACGTAAATTACCTGAAAGATGAGCAAAGGTTGTAGCTGCAGATGGAGCATACTTTCAATAAACTTTTCTTTAATTTTCTAAACAAGCAAATGTGTTTTATTTGAACAAAAAAGGGCGGAGTCATATTCACACACCCAATACGTTCAGCGAGTGGTTGAACTGTGCCTTTTTCCTTTACGAGTAAAGTTGTACTCACTGGAGAGATTGTAACCTTGGGTACCTATTCCCCTGTCATTATGTTATATGGAACCTAAAGACTATCTCGCCAGTACACCTGTAAATGAGTTAAAGGACATGAGGTCAACGGAGCAGCAGTGACAAAAAGTTTCCTCCGGTTTAGTGACGAAAAATAATATTTTGTTCCAGATAATCTGTGAGAAAATATTCTTAGGCTGGACCCTATCAGGCACTATAATAATTCCCGGCCTCCTGATGTCCCGCAGAACACCAGGAAGCCTAGCAGTACTTCTTCGACAGTGTGCCAATCCCCATGGTGACACTGTCCACTTGCCTAGAGCACAAGTGCCAGGCGATATTAGAAGCAGACTATACGACATGCTGACTGAGATGGATCGACACTACTCCGCTTCTTCCTAGACACCGCACAAGTCCTTTCTCAATAATCAATGATTGAATATGAATACTTAGAATAGGGTAATGAAAGGCCTTAATAGTCACTAGGATTTATTCAATAACTTTCGCCTAATTGTAACTTATTCTAGACCTTTTTCGAGCTTTAATAATGTTATCTAGATCATTAATTATGAAGCCATGGGCCAACGGGCGACGAAACTTAAGAAATGAAAAAGTTAAAAAAGTATTCCACATACATTTTAATAATATTGTGAATTTTCTTATATTAAAATTAATAAATTCCTTTGAAATATAAACTATAGTTTACTGTTGATTAGCAGTACAATTATTTCCAAATTTTCACATATTTGTAATTCCGTCATTTGAAATGGTTGAAACGAGATCAAATTAATATTTCTATCCCGATTAACCTGAGTCTGGTCACCAAACGCGACCCTGTGACTCTGGTCACCTCCGCGGGGATTCCCCGCCGTTATTTACGCTCTAGCGTTGTCAAATCCACTCTACACTGCCCGGGCGCGTTTATCGAGTTTCTGACAACGTCGCGTGATAGGCAACTTCATTTAACATGGGAAAAAATAATTCATCGATTCGGAATCATTTCTTTTCTTTAAGAATTTTGGGAAATATATTGTTCTAAAAATTACTATAATTCTTTAGACGCTTCAATTGACAAAGTCAATTTTTTTTTAATTTTTCCGGTTATCCGGTTAATTGTAATTAAAGAAAAACGATGCACCGCAGGGTTTCCCGCATAGGGTGACCAATCTAGGGTATTTTGTGATCAGTCACGCACGAAAAAATTTTATAGAAAAATCTAGTGAATTCGCTACAAAATTCTATTGAACTTCCCCTGAAAATTCAATCAGTTCTTCGCCAGTTTCATTGAAAAAATTCCTGATTTTTTGGGCTTCTTTCCAAAAGAAATGTTAAATAGAAAATACTTTACAGAGAAAATCAATAAAATTGGTTCTGTCTCAATAAAAAAAAACTCAAATTTTTTAAGTTGTTTTACTTGATTTTTCTAATGAAAAAAGAAGAAAAGTTGAGCGGAAAAAACTTGGCACATTCATATAAGGGATTGCAATAGAAAATGTCTTAATTGAAAAAGCTGTGTAGAAAGATGATATTCTAGCCATTTTCCCTATAAAATAGTTTCTGTGGGACATTTTTTATACCAAAAACGCGCAAAAAGCTTTGGAATTCTTCAATAAAATCAGCCAAAAACTAATAGAATTTATAATAGAAGTTCAATCGAAATTCAGTAGAAGTTTCACGGAGAAAATTATTTGGTGAATTTCACCAACTAGTTGTTAACGCGGAGCGTGCCGAAAAGTTCACTTTTCGTCACAGCGTGATGAAAATGATTGTTTCTTTATGCGTTGTTGCTCTTTTTATCTTTCATCTCTACAAATTTCATTGGTAGTAAGCCTCCGAATGGATCCGTTGCAATTCTATTTTTTTTTAATAATAAGAAGATAAAAATTCTGTTTTGTGGTGAATAAAAAATTTCAGTTTCTGTAAAATGCTAATTCTCCGATTTTCTCTCCAGGCAAAATTAGAGAATGGAAAAATCGAACGATTTCAATGCTTCCATTCGGAAGCAAAAACAACCAAAATCACGTTCGAAAGGTAATCCACCCGGGCCTCATAAAGATAATTATTTAAATGTGAAAATTGAATTTCCCTCTCCAAATCCAATGATCCCAAATCTATCCGCCAACAGGCGCCACATTCGCCCACCAAATTTTTCCCAGTGGCGCTCCCAACTCCAGAAGCATGTTCTCCACGGTGGTTCGTTATCAGAGGACGTCTAATTGGAAAGACGAGATCTGCAATTAATTTCGATGCAACCACCGTCCCAACTGTCCAATATGGACTGGGGTAACTGGGGAAAGTATCCCAAAAATTTCGATCCGTCTATCCACGGCCGCTTCGACCCTGCCAAGTACTACGGAAAAGGTATGAAAACTTATTATCAGGAGCGATCACCTGAACCCTGAAAATACCCAGTGACTTGAAAATTATCGTTTATTCCAGCCGATGTTCCTTTCGGTGAAGTAAAACTCGGGGAACTTGGGTCATGGTTCGCTCGTCGTGAAAAGGGACCCATTCGTCTGGCTCAAATGATTGGCAGAGGTAATTTAACGCAAAAGACTTGTGGCACCAGAGGCCATGTTTGCCGGAGTGTGTTGCATAATAGAGGAAAAAAATTCACTCAACATTTTTGGAAATAAATCAAGAATTTATTTTAGTTTTTTACCGTTATTTATAGCGTACTGGCGTTGGCAACATAAATATGTCCTTCCCAAGAAGTGTGGAGTTGCTCCATTTTTCCAAATGACAGTAACTGCCATGATATTCTTCTATGTCATCAATTATCCCAAACTCAGTAAGTAAAACACACCCAACGCACAAAAAAAACACTCTTTTACGTCGACACAATATTTTTTAGGCAAAATGATCTACTGCACGCAATGATCCCTTCATTTAAGTAGTGAAGTGGTAAAACTAACCAGATTTTGATTATTAGCCGGTTTTCAACGTGTATCTCGGAATCTAAGGCAGATAGCAATATTTTCGTTATATCCTTTTTTGTAGAGCGAATTGAGAGCTACGAAAAAGGTAATTACGAAAATTTTGCTATCTCCCTTAGATTCGGAGATATTCCTCAAAAACTTAGCTGAACGCCAGTCGAGAGTTTTACCTTTCGCCACTGATTTTTTTGAGACATTTGATGTTTTTCATGAAGAGAATCTCTTAAAACATTAGTAAATTCTGACAGTTTTGAAATCTATGTAGATATACGTCTATGTAGATATGTGGAATTGCGCACAATAATGAAAACATTTACAAGTTGGAATCCCATAGGTATATCGAGTAAATTAAATGTAGGGATAATAATTCCTGTAGATGAGGTCTTGATGCAAAACGTTACAAAAAATCGGGGGTGTGAAGTATCCCCAAGACTCATCAATTTTGATAATTATAGAATTATCTCAGGAATAATGAAGTTGAGTGGAGAATGTCAGAAAAACTTTTTGTGGGGAATTTAATTCGCTACGAAGAAAGTCTTTTAACATTTTCGACTAGAGCCAGTCATTACTGAGATAACTAAGATGATACAGTAATGAAGCAGTGGATTATAATTGGCGAATTGAGATTTTTTTTTCAATTGCCCATTTTTATTTAAAACAAGTGATTTTGAAAGGAATCCCTAGATGATACCTTTTGGAGGGAATTCGATCCTCTGCAAAAAAAAGTTTGAGGAAAAAATTTCAAGAAACTTTTTTTTAGAGAGAATCCAACTTCATATAAAAGAGAGCTTTAATATTTTTATTTCGAATTTATCGTCAATGAGATTGTTTCAGAACTAACGAATGAGAGAACATTTTTAATCAAGTTTTGAATTCAATTCAAGAACTTAGTCACAAGAGGTTTTAGGAGAAAAATTGAAATGAAAATTTTATCAAAAATGTCCTTTGAAATTCTCTGTATCTCAAAAATGTCTCGTTATGGAAAAAGGTCTTTTAAAATCGTCAATTCTAACGATAACTTCATAGAGGAGGGTGGGGCAAAATGAAACGGCCGTAAAACGACTATTTGACACAATTCAAGCAAAAAAAATTTTTTTATCAACTTTTGTTTATTAAGTATTCTTTACTATTAGGAGTACTGTCTTCTTATAATTCGTCTTATAATTCAATTGATTAGATTAGGTAGATTACATTTCTTTTTCATTCGATTGAAATTTAGTATCACATTTTCTTTTTTCCCAATCTGGGTGTCTCCCTGGGTCTTCCTCTGGACTTTCGATTTTGTTGTTTTATTTTCTTTTCAATTAATCCATTGACAAAATCTTCTCCCGTCAAAACATCTCAATAATTTTCCATTCTACTGAATGGGAGACAAACAGTACTGATTGGAATGGGATTCTAATCAGTACTTCTAATAATAAAAAAAAGTTGATAAACAAAAATTGAAAAAAATTGTCGAGAAAAAATTGTTTTTGCTCGAATTGAGTCGAACAAAAACACATTTCATACACATTTTTAACACATTCATTTTGTTGTATTTTCCACTGTTTCATTTTGTCTCACTCTTCCCCTAAATAATTGAAAAAATTTCCGGTGAATTTCAAAATTAAGTTTGTAAATCGCGCGATTGTTTCTATAACAAGTCATTTGAGGAAAATACATCAAAAATAAATATAACAAAATATCTTCTTTATAGGGTATTGAATTCTCGACAGTAAAAATCTTTTGGAATGTTCTTTTCGAACTAATAATTACCAAGATAATTTCAGAAATAATTAACGCGAGGAGATCTCAAGTGGAATTTTAAATCAACTTTCCTAATCGTGCAATTATCTCGGAAGTGAGAAGCTCTAGAAGAAAAAATAAAAATATATTTTTCGTAGCCCATAAAATTTCCCAAAAAATCGAATGATTCTAGCACGTTTTACCACTTTAGTACTGTAATTATAACTTCACAACAGTAATTAACAGGGGAACAATATCAATTACTGCCACGATAACACTGTTGTTTTATCATTTTTCAGGATGGCACGCAAACTACAAATACCACTAAATAATGAACTCACGTCAAGAACGAAATTTTTAAAAACGTAGCGTTCGATGTTGGCGAGTTAAACTAGTTGTTCAACTCCGGTACACCAGTTTCTTTCAATGAATTCGTCGTGTAATGATAATGAATAATAAAAACATCGCATTAAAATTGTCATTTTGTGAGTCTTCTTTGCACAGTTATTTAATTCAATTAATCAAATGAACCGTTTGATCATCGTTCAGCTACAGCGATTTTATTTCAGTTGTAAAACGGAATAAACGTAATTAAATAAAACGAATAAAACGGTCCAAATTCTCTTAACTGAGTTTTCGAAGAATATTTCAAAATTTAAGGAAAATATCGAAATTTTCATAATGATCTTTCTTGTAGCACTTGACTCGCCCCACAAAAAAGGTTATAACAAAAATGTTGCTATTTGCCTTGAATTCCGGGATATTTATTGAAAAATGACCAATAGTCAAAATTAACTTGAACCGTTTTACTGCTCCGCTACTGAATTGTGGTCGTTTACGTGAAAAGAGCCCATTTGGCGGTTTTAAAGTTTTCTACGCTCCGATAATTTTGGTCAGAGTTCACATATTTTAAATCCAAAATTGCTGTGAGTGTGTAAACGTTGACATCGCTATGAAAGTCGCAAAAAAACATTGATTCAAGAATGTTTCAAGAATCTTTATCGAAAATGTAATTTTTTTATCTTTATTAAGAAAATGAGTTGCAGTACCATCAGTGACTGAGTTGTGAAACCTCTAAATTGAACATTCCAACGCATAAGCCCTCACATATGATCACTCAATGAAAATTAACATTTAACTGGTGAAATGGTGACGCAGGAGTTTTCTTCATCATTTAAAGTCTACAGGTATGTTCATCAGGCAATAAATTAATTAAGGTTGATAGAAACTGAAGAGCCTTTTAGTAGTCCACTCATGGAACGCAAAAACATCTGTTGTCCCAATAATAATGGACTGTCACATTCCCAGTGATATTACCACTGGTTTTCAAGTTGGATAATTGGTTCGTAATCGAAATTGGTATTTCTCCAATTGAATCACTCCCAGGCGATCCTGATTAAAATTTTACTTTCCGCACGAGTTATGAAAAACGGTTCATTTGATTAATGGCTTGGAGTCCCACGTACAGACTTTCCTGGTGACCAAGGGAAACCATGGAAAACCTTGGTCGGCACGGGCATTCATCGAACGAGCTTCATCGGAGAATGTTTTCCTAATACTTCCTAACACTTGTCCGATGATTCTCGGATGATTCTCTATACTTTCATTCGACGGTTTCCGAAAAACAATACAGTAATAAATTATCAATTTGCAATTTCCTCCCTATTGAATTTAATTCCCAATATTATTTAAAACGTTCATTTTTTTCAGCTTTTTTTTTATTGCACAATGATAATTTTTGGAAACTTCAGGGCTATGTAGAATTGAACAGCAATTGGGGAACATTTCAGATTATGAAAACATTAAAACAAGCAGGCGTTCAAGGCTATTCGACAGAAGGCATGCGACCGTTACTTTCTGTCTTATAAATCTTTTTCTTTCTTTTATTTCTACCAATTCCATTGGTAGTAAGCTTCCGAATGGATCCGTACCACTTCCCTGTTCCTAAGACAGGCATAAATTAATTCTATTTTTATGTGGAAATTATTAACTAACACTTGATATTAAAGAAATTTAACCTTGAAAATTAGAGATTAGATTGCTGAATTCGAGATTGCTTGATGAGTGGGCCTATGCATAATTTTCTAAATCTGGTATTGCTGATTATCTCTATGATTTTCAACTAATATCTCATTTTCTTCTAAAATATGCACAAAACAGATTTTTTTTGTCGAATTTTCGTTTTTATAATTTTGATTGCAAATGGTCAAGAATGTTATGAAACGTGAAGAAATGATGTCTTTAGGGTCTTTTATCCCGATCGGTCCAATAGTTCCTGACATATAACAACTTTTGTCAAATTTTTTCAAAGATTTTAGATATCCTGGACAATTTTTTGAAAGTGTCTCCAAATAATTCACTTTCATCATAAAAGACGAGAAGAAAATCGAATGAGAAACCATCAATGTTTTCTACCATGCATAAAATCATTTTATTAAAAAAAAAATTTATATTTAACCTTTTGATAAAACGGATTTATACAAAAAAATTAATATCTTCCAAACCACTGGGCCGATTGCGCCCATTCGAAATACGGACCTTTAATATTATGAGAGATATAATCATACCAAATTTCCAGTTGATATCTTCTTTTTGTCTCAAGTTATCGTGCGCACAAGGATGAAAAAAAAGTCGATATCTCGATTTTTGCACACGTGAGCGCGCGTACAAGGATTTTAATGAAAAAACAGGAAAAGGGGAAATATCAAAAACTTTGTATGGACTTGTATATATGTTTTTGTTGATCTAGGTAGAGGACATCGAGACGAATATTTTGAAGAAAAAAAATCTAAAGCGGTCCAATACTTTTAAAGATATTCGTGAAAAACGATTTAAAAACGAACGCTTCATCTTAAAAACTCCTTGACCGATTGGGCTGAAATTGTGTACAGAGTTAGTCCTCATTAAGACCTATAATCTGACAAAATTTCAAATTTTTCAGAATTATTTTGGCCACTTAATTACTCAATTTTCTAAAAATTGACCATCGGGAAGGTGGCGATGGACCTATTCACATACAGACATGGTCGCCAAACTTCGTATTTTTACGTTTCAGACCATTCCACATCATTTCCAATGAAAATTAGAGAATGTGAAAATCGGACGATTACAAAAGCTTCCATTCGGAAGCAAAAACAACTAAAATCACGTTCGAAAGATAATACACGAGGGCCTTAAGAATATAGACTGAATCCAATGGCCAAGTAAGGGAAAAATTGGGATAGCTAGGTAATTAGTACAGATATCTGGAACTTTAAGCTCCACACAGCCGCAGGCTAGTGCCTACATTTGGTACATGTTATCTGTTTCATTTCAAAATAATCAACCAGGGTTGGCGAATTAAATTTATCGAATGGGAAGGAGATAACTCTGTCTATCAGTTGAAAAAAAATGAAAAGAATGTTTAAAGTGCTTGCGATTTTGGATAAATATCTTCAAATTGGAGCTGTAACGAGAGAAATTTAAATAACTGAGAAACTATTGTTGGAATCCACAAATATTGAATCATCTTTTCAATGAGTGACTTTAGGATAAAATTTCTACGTCTTTATAAACATCGAACTATTTGAATAATCAGTTATTTTGGAAATAAATATCCAGAGAAATCTTTTATCGAGAATTTTATCAGCTTCACAAAATATCTGACATTTTTTTCGAGAATCCCTTGCTTCCGAGGGAAAGAGTCAATTAATAAAAATATCAAATTTGATTAATTACGATTTATTTCTCCGCTGGATTTTCCTCATCTTATGAAAACCGAATGATCACGATAGTGAATGACGTCAGCGGAAAACAACAAACGACACCTTTCGAGCTACAAAATAATTTTTTAAAGGTAGGGGAGGGTGAGGTAAAATGGACACTCTTAACTTTTTTTGAAATGTCCACGACGTGTTGAATGGTTCATGGAATGGAATAATTTTATTTTTCAATAGAAAGAACAACAATTCTCTTTGTGATGAGCTTAGACTGAGCTCAATTGGGAAATCTGTTTTTGAGATATGAATATTTGTAAAAAATTCAAAAGTGTCCATTTCACGCCATCCTCCCCTATTCACCAAAAATTACTCTTTTCCCAGATAAATCTACGACTATAGGAAATATAAAATTTATTACGATTCACTGCAGTACTGAATTTTTCACATCTTTTGAATGGTGAATCATCTCAACAGCAGAAAATGACAGAAGAGATCTTCTAAAGAATTGAGTTTCTAAAATTTACTGCATTATTGATTTTGCAGGTCTTCATAAACACTAAATTATCTCCACAATAAGTGCCTCTAGAAGAAAATATCATAAGACCACTCACGTAGAAAATTCAATTCCCTACAAAAAATGTTCTTTGACATTTCCTCCCAAAATTCGTAATTCTCACGAAAATTCACAATCAACAAAGTCCTCGACAGATGTCACATTTCTATCATGAGTTTTCATAAAATCGATGAAGTTTATTGTAAACCTCTCTTAAGAATTTAGCATCCCTACGAAGTTCACTTGGATTGGTCGAGCCTCCCCCCATTGTCCGTTGAATTGGCCAATCCGGTCATAATCGAGGGACAAAACTGAGGTTCACCAGCAATATGGCTGTCAGTATAAATTTGATGCTTGTAACATGCCTTTCTCTCCGAAAAATTGCCAATTACATACGTACGAATGTATTATCAAGCCATTACATTATCGTGATGTGACTAACAGTGGTCCAATTGAGTGGGAAACAGCAATGAGGGTCAGCTGATCCACATAAAATTGATAATTCACCGACAGCCACAGATTATAACACAGGTGGGACAGTGCATTTATTTTTATTCTCTAATCGAATGCTCTTGGCGTTGGGGTGAATCAAACGCGTCTTATTCTTGTTTGTATCCTCCATATTGTCATGCATTGACGAGAAAAAATTATTTTCATTGAATTTGATGGGAAAGCAGGTGATCATTCATGATGGTTCAGCTGGGAAGAATATTTGAGCTCATTTTTTCAACCTTTCACTTTTCCTGGGGAGTTCACTCATAGCGTCACGATCGAATTCACTCCCCACTACCTGCGATATCGATGAGAAAATGATATATACACATGAATGTTTGGGTTGTGGGGTTTACAGTTACATGGAATTTTAGATATAAATTTTTTTCACGTCGATGTAATTGTGGTGAGGTGTTTCGAATGATGAGAGTGTCTAGTTATTGGAAAGCCAGGGAAATTTTATGCTATATTCGATGTGAAGTAGGAGGTTCGCATTGTTTATAGAGAGAATTTTTTCATTTCTTTCGTTTTAGGAGAGAAATTGGAAAATGAAGGGAAAAGGAATCTAGGATTACCAAAAAAACAAGCTTTATTTTGAGACTTATGATCTCAAATAGAGATTTTCAAGTTTTGAGTTAAGACTTTTAACAGTCTCAAATCGAGAGTTCAAGTTGACTTCCAAAATCTTAACTTGAGGCATTCGAAATTATCAACTTGAGTCTAGGAAAGTCTCAAACATTTCTTATTTTCTAGAGGGAAGAATTTCTATTAATTTTTTAATGTTTAGAATTATTGAGGGACTTCACTCAAGGTCATAACTAACACGATCATCTTCTAGAGCAATAACATTGTCATAATTGAAACCTAATGAGAATTGCCTGGGAATGACTCGACTGGAGAAATACGGTACTGAAAAAATAAATACTTCTCTCAAGTAAATGAATTTTTGGGAAAAATATTTTTTTTTCTCAGTGAATGGAAACGTTCCAAAGTTTCAATTTTAGACTTTGAAAGTCTCACATTGAGATCTCAAAGTTTCAAATTGAGACTTTCAAAACTCTCAACTTAATAATTTCAGACTTAAAATCCTATTTTAGGAACTTTAAAATTGTTTAAAGAAGGTATCTTTTTTTTGAATGAACAGAAAATTTTTGATGAAGAAAATGAGCAATAACTTTGACAAAAAAATTTGTATCTTTGGATTCAGAAATATTCTGCAAAGAGTAGTGTTGAAATGATTCAGAGAGGGAGGAAACGGCGTCATACTGATCGTCGAATTTCATTCTGGCAATCTCGAGTTATTGGAGATGAAAGACGATCTCTGTTGCCTTGCTCTTTTCCAAGTCAACATAATAGAGGTTCAGTTGTGTATGAATGTCTTTGATCCTAGAGGAAAATCACTAATTTTCACGATTAGCTCTTCAGTACTGATTTCTTTTGATTTACAAAAATATTTTCACTAAAAATATGAATATCTCTGAAGATCTGTGAATTAAGATCATGAGGTATAGCGCAAAAGAGTAACAGTACCCAATTTATCTCCATTGTTGTTGAGTATCAAAATGATTCTAAGGGATATTGAAGAAAATGAAAACAACGTTTATGTAATTGCCATTTGGCAAAGTTTTTGTGGTAGGGTAGGAGAGTATTAGTCACGAAAATCACTAATTTTCACGATTAGCTCTTCAGTACTGATTTCTTTTGATTTACAAAAATATTTTCACTAAAAATATGAATATCTCTAAAGATCTGTGAATTAAGATCATGAGGTATAGCGCAAAAGAGTAACAGTACCCAATTTATGTCCATTGTTGTTGAGTATCAAAATGATTCTAAGGGATATTGAAGAAAATGAAAACAACGTTTATGTAATTGCCATTTGGCAAAGTTTTTGTGGTAGGGTAGGAGAGTATGTTTGCATTTGCTTTCACGCTATTAGCGATGTCTTCATATATAACTAGTTAAATTTTTAACGGGTCGAAACATTAATCGAGTCATGAGCCTGATGCAGCTAAAATAATTAGCAATCGCCACAAAATGATTATTAGATTACTGTTGTCCTCATTTACTCCAAAATCTCTCGAAATCATTTTGGATAATACCCAATTTATTGCCAAATCACGACTCCTAACGTGTAGCGACCCATGAAAATGTGAATGACTCTCTTCCAAATTGATTATTTCCAAAAGTATGAACAGTAAGCTAACAGAACAAATAACAATGAGAAAATAAATACTGCAGTTTCAATTACATAGGGGAGAAAGGGGCAAAATGAAATAGCCGAAAAACGACCATTTGAAGCAATGTAAGCAAACAAATTTTTTTTTCAACTTTTGTTTATCAACTTTTTTTATTATTGAGAGTACAGATGAGGATAATAATTTTTTTATTGGTCTTATAATTCAGTTGATTAGATTAGAGCGATTACACTTTTCTTTTGTCATTCCATTGAAATTTAGCATCACACTTTGCTTTTTCCCCTTCTGGGTCTCCACCTGGGTCTTGCTCTGGACTTTGGATTTTGCTGTTTCATTTTCTTTTCAATTAATCCATTGACAAAATCTTCTCCCGTCAAAACTTATCAATAATTTTCCATTTTACTGAATGGAAAATTATGATTCTCACTATTACTCCCTAGAATAACAAACAGTTAATAAACAAAAGTTGATGAAAAAAAAAAAAATAAAAATTTGTTGCTTGCATTGCGTCAAACAGTCGTTTTTCGACTGTTTCCTTTTGCCCCACTCTCTCCTATCGATTTCATAATTTTCCGTTGATTAAAAGTCATGACACGCTAGTTGTATCGAGCGCACACGACGCTTTTAAACGAAAGGGCCCTGTCCGTCTGGGGTTAATCAAGCTCTCTCCGACTCTTGAAACCAAACATGTACCAAATTGAAAACAACATTAAAAATAAAATGGCATCTGCCAATAAAAACCATTACTTTTCCACTATCCTGATCTTAATTCATGGAACTGAAAAGTCGCGGAAATGAATAACAGAATCGACATCTCTCTAAAATATTTCGCAGACTGTCTCCTAAATCTAAAATGTAAATGAGAAGAATTCAATGTCGTTTTGAAGGCTGAAAAATGACATGAAAATCGTTAAATTCGGCAACTCCGAGCTATTTTATTTCATAGACTAAAATAAAATCAATATGCCCAAAAGCTTCTCCAACTGATAATAGAATAATGTTTCCTTTGTTCCAGGATTTTCCAAAATTGTCACAACATAGGCAAGAATCATGGCTTCAAGGTAAAAATATTATTCCCAAAAGTATTTCATCATCTACATAAATATTTATATTTACACATCCCCGAGCTTTATCGACTCATTCCCACCACTTGTATTTGCCAGGCTCGACCGACTGTTTATATTATTGGAAACTGGCACGAACCCGGTAACAAAACGAGCAGCTGCGCAGCAGTTGGGAGAAGTCCAGCGCCTGCACCCACACGAGCTTCACCACCTGCTCGGTAGAGTCTCAGCCCTCCTGAAATCGCCGCAATGGGACACACGAGTGTCAGCTGCTCAGGCTATCCAGGCGATCCTGGCTCAAGTCCCTGTTTGGGACCCAGAGCCAATTGAGAGGAAGCCCCTAGATGAAACAACCAATGGAAAACGTCAAAAGGACCTCCACAAGAATCATTTGACCCTCCAGGGTTTCGACATGGTTCAAGTCCTGGCAATAAGTTCCCACTTGACAGGTTCTGAGGGCAGTGAATATGACCTTGTGATAGCTGAGGGCGAACAGAACCCTTTGCAAGGCCAGAGTAGTCAGGTCCTAGCTGCCAAGCTTGGTCTCCATCCAAGACTGATGGGAGTAGATCCCTCAGACCTTTTCACCCCTGAGGATCTCACCATTCCCCCTCAACCCCCCCAAACCTCCAAAATGTCCATTGACGAGACCCTGAGTGAACCTGGAGGCCTCAGCAGACGTGAGATGAACAGAGCGAGACGCAAAGCTAGACAATCAATGTCGAAGCAACGATCAAGAGAGCCTGATGAACAAGAAACAAATGAATCGATGAGAAAGAAAATTAAAGTGGAGGATCCAATGCCCATTGAATCGTCCACGAATGTCGAGGGAAAAGCGTGTGAAGCAGTGTCTGCTGGGGCTGTGCCTGATGGCACTGGCTGCTGGCCCGAAACTGCCATGGACTGGCCACTGGAGGTACGTAGGATCAGTCCAGTCGACAGTTCCAATATTCCATGGTATTTTTATAATCGTCAATTCTTACATTACTTTCTGGTGTTCAACACTATTCGTCCCACGTAATATTTCAAAGTGAATAACGTCAGTCGTACGGAAATTTCGTTCTTTATGAGCGTAATTACAGGCCTTGGCTTACGTAGTAAACTCCACACTCGTCACGAACAAAATTTAAGCACTTGTATCGTTAAATATTATTGCCCAACTAGGAAACAAATTAATAGAAAAACCTAGTTGCTTCTCCAAGAAATTCTAGCAGGACTCGATAAGAATTGTATTGGAGTTTTATTAGAATTACATTGACAAATGCTATTAGTTTTTTGCGCTGACTTCTATTGAAAATTATGCAACTTGGGCATAAATTTTCTCAATCTTTTCTCTTCGATTTTGTAAGGAGAAAAAAAGTACCGTCGAAAAAACTGGAAAATTTAATGTCCAAGGATTTCCGTGTAAAAATGTTCAAACGAATGATTCATGTAGAAAAATAAAAATCTAGTGACTTTTTTTCTATCAAAGGATCGTATAACAAAGTTGCATAATTTCCAAGAGCAATCGGAGCAAAAAAATTAATGAATTTTCAATAGAATTTTGATGGGTTCCCGATTAAAATTCAATCGAATTTCTTAGGGAAAGCGTCAAGTTCTTCTATTTAATTTTCTTATACGTGCAATCATGGGAATTTAATGAACAATTAGGGCACAATCACACGTGAAATCTGGGCTAGAGATGGAATTAAAATTCCACGAAATCTGTTAGGGGTCAAAATGACTAGACGTTACTGAAAGAGGGACTGTACCAATATCGGTATACAGTATTGAAAATTTTCCACTGAATATCTTAATATCTTCCACTAATAGTCTTACTTGTACCAAGAAAATAATAATTCTGTACAAAATTTAATTTGAATGACCCTGTATATTCATGTTTTTTAAATTTATTTTTCTGACGCAATTTAAGTGACAAGTTTGATTATTCAAAATGGTTGAATCTATAATGTGGTTTGTATCAATCTGTAACAGATATTTGAATAGCCTTAAGAATCGTGTGCAAAATTTCACGAATGTACACAATAACAATGGAAATAATTTCTAAAGTTGCCATTTATACTTGCAGTTGAATGGGGTATCGACAATTTAGCGCTTTTCCTGATATTTCTCGAGGGATAACGTGGGAAAAATGCTCAACTTATCCTGTTGCATTCAACCGCGTGTATAAGTAGCAATTTTAGAATTGTTTTCCATTGTTATTGTGTACATGAGGTTCTTGATATTGCGCATCTGGTTTTTCAATCGGTTAAATAATATGCTGAAAAAGTTCCATTCAATTCTTTGTTTTTTCGGACCCCGCCATATTGGTCTTAAAGAAAAATGATCATTTTTCGCCTTCACCTCAACTTCAAAGTGAAAAACAAAAGATAAAACTTCCAACGTTGAGTAGAGCCTGTTCCCTATTTTGAAATATAATTGCATTATTTTTTCGAAAAATTCAGAAAGTTTTCGATCGATATCATATTTTGAAATGATTCGCTTGTTTTTTATTTTCTTTTCGCAGAGCCGACAAATAAATAAATAAAAAACAAAAACAAAATCGAAAATCGATTTCTCAGTTGTAATACCCCGAGACTTCCACAATTATCGGATATTTCCTGAAAGCTTTGTTGTAAACCAATGAAGGTGTCGAGCTTTGCAGGCTAAAAATCCCGAGTACGCAGTACGTGGCATTTTCCTGCAAACGTTAACACTGAAAAATTATCTGAAAAATGTTAAACGTGACATTTTTCACCGAAACGTGGGATATATCTATCAAAAGGAGGGACAACAACAATAGATAGGCTACATGGAAATTATTGGTGTGAAACGTGTGATGTGACTCCGAATACTGCACTCTGATTGGTCAAGAGCAGATTGGAGGAAATCATCATGGCAATTTATTTACAATTTTGATTCATTACAAAAACATTTTTATTAACAGCTTGTTTCCTTATTTGTTGTTAATGTCATAACATGAAGAGACCATGAGAAATCGATTTTAAAAATATTTTGTTTTTGTTTCTCCTTCCGAATGGAGGTTTTGTGCGCGTGATTTTTCCCAATTTCGTAATTCTGGGTGGAAATGTCTAGAACTGTCATGAAACATGGAGAAATGATGTTTTTAACCTGAATCGATTAAAAAATAAATTTTGAAATTTTTCATGGGCGAAATCAGACCAGTCGTTTTGGAGATATTTACCTTGATATGTGAAACAATTTTGTTCAACTTCTCAAAAATTACTGGAGTGATTTCAATTTTTTCTTCAAAATATCTGCAATGATGCCATATATTTAGTTCTATTAAAATATGGGTGCCTCTCTTTTGGCTCTGCGCCATACGAGCGAATAATTTTTGAAACTTGATTTCAATCGTGAATTTTTTGAATTTTTCGGAGTAATTATTAAATTAAGGGCAAAGCAGAAACCCCGCTCAAATCAAGGGAGAAAAATGACCATTTTTTTTTTCAATTTAGAAAATTTCCGATGAAAAAAGTGTTTTGTATTTTTGATTATGTTAATCCTTAAGTGGTCGCAGCTCTCCACCGAACTTAGTTGGTCGCACGGTAAGAGAATCCCCGCCCCGTGTATTTTACGATTTCGAAGAAAAAAAGTTGAACAAAAAAAAATTATTCCACGATCAAAGGAAATTTTGAAGTTTCAATGAATAGGAAATGGGGGTATGGAATGAAATAATTGTCAGGTAATCCAAGAACTCGATGTAAAAAAGTGCAAAATTATGAAATTCTGAGGTTGAACATGGGGATTTTCAGCGACTCGAATTTTCAGGTTTTAATAATTCATTGATGCAAGTCTAGAACCGAAAAAAGATGGTAATGTGTCCCATATATTTGAACGTAAGAATACAAATTTTTATGGATTTTTTATACACGAAGTTCTTGTGTGAAAAGAAAAAATCAAAAAACGGCGGGGATTGCCTCATTACGCACCACTTAAGGGTTAAATTTAATGGAAGAATACAAAAATCATGCAGATACCCATTAATTAAGAGCCGTGGGCTCTTTGCTATCCGAGAAATCTGTTTTTGCTTCGGAATAGAAGCTTTGTAAACGCTCAAATTTAAATGTTCCAAAATTATAATTTCAATCTAGAAAAAAATTCATTATACTCCAGGTATTCAGCGAGACGCTCTGCCAGGACCTCTTCAGTCAAAAATGGGAGATTCGTCACGGCGCAGCAACAGCATTACGAGAGCTGGTTAGAATTCACGGAAAGGGAGCGGGTAAGTCTCGAGATCAAACTAAAGAAGAGATGGAGAAGAGTCACCAAAGATGGGTAGTGGACGCAGCACTGAGGCTCCTCTGCGTCCTCGGTCTCGACAGATTCGGTGATTTCGTGTCGGATCAGGTGGTAGCTCCGGTCAGAGAGACCTGTGCCCAGGCCCTGGGTTCTCTCGTCCGTCTGATGCCCCCCACCGAGGACAAAGGTATCATGGGGATTCTCAAGTTCATGTTAACACTCTTGAAGAATGACGAGTGGGAAGCCCGACACGGATCTCTCCTAGCCCTAAAATACCTCCTAGCAGTTAGAGACGACTTACTCGATCAGCTGCTCCCTCAGGCATTTCCCGCTGTCATGAGGGGTCTGGCAGACCCTGTGGACGACGTCGGAGCTGCTGCAGCTAGTGCTCTCATCCCAGTAGCCCCATCCCTGCCAAGATTACTCAAACATGAAGAGCTACAAGCAGTCGTGGCACGACTTTGGGAACTCCTCCGAGAGCAGGACGACCTTGCAGCTGCCTCCAACAGCTTCATGGGTCTCCTCGCAGCAATTCTATCCCTCCCTGCAGCACGCGCCTGCCTATCCCCTCAACCTCTCTCCAAAGTTCTCCCCAGACTCTGGCCTTTTCTGAGTCATTCCAGCTCGAGCGTACGAAAAGCCACTCTCCAAACCCTTCAAACACTCACCGGAGAGGACGCAGATCACTTCGAGAATCGAAAAGAAAGATGGGGTGAGGAAGGTGGTATCGTCCTCCAGGAAGCCCTTCGTCACGTGTTCCAACGAGTCTTGATCGAGCATGTGGCAGCCATCCAAGAAGTAGCTGAGAACGTCTGGGAGAACCTAGTCGTTAGAAGTGATCTAGAATTACTTCTGCATGCAGCTTGTCCTTTAGTAAGTACTTGGCTGTGTCTAGCCATGCAGCCAGACTACGCGCCTTTTAACCCTAGTCTCCTCAACCCCATCCTCACGACAAGTCCCCCCAAATCCCTTCCCAAACACACTAATGGAGACGGACAATCGGACTCAAGTAGCTCCTCTCTCAGCATCAGTGGCAAGTCCACCTCGGAATTGAAAGTTTACATCGGTGGTATTGAAACAGTTCCCCAGAACGTCAGACTATCGAACACTGTGAGGGCCAGGATAATGGCGTCGAGAATGCTGGGTCTCCTCTCGAAATACGTAGTTCAACCTGCCCCAGGGGTTGTATATACTCCAGACATCCCTAGTCCAGCATTATGTTACGCTCGTGTACTACTAGTTCACCTGGCCTCACGCTCAGCCCTCCAGAGAGCAGTAGTTGGACTGACGATCGCCCACTGGGCATCACTAGAACATCCCCATCCCCCATCGATCCCAGACATCCTGAGGGATAAACTCCTGGGGTGTTTAAACGAATGCGTCTACTATGACGAAATCGCTGGAGCATTCACCAGGCTTCTCCACGAAAGTAAGGATTACGTCGCAACGTTGAAACATTACAAACTCTCTCTACCAGTGGATATTGATAACTCTGGCTCCAGTGTTCTGACATTAGACCAAATTGCGACGTTAGCTGGCAAGCCAGTGGGTACACTTCAAGTAATCTCAGCCACTGGCATCCCAACTCCCAACAAACTCAAGCCAAAATTGATAACTGAACTTGAAGAGCGAAGGAGAGCACTCGAAGTTGGAGCTACCAATACAGCTGCCCAGCAGCAGAATCTCAATACAATGGCGATGGCTGCTCTGGCAGGGGCTGCAACAATGCTCCATTGCCTTCCAGAACCACCCAGACCTCTGAATCCTTTAGTCAAACCACTGATGGAAGCTATCAAACGCGAAGAGGACGAAGATCTACAGAAACTGGCTGCCAAACATTTGTCACACCTCGTCGATCTCTGCGCCGAGCGCACACCATCACCAAATGCAAAGATAACCACGAATCTCTGTACATTCTTGTGCTCGGATACTGAGTTTACACCTAGAGTGACTGATAAAGAGACTGATCCATTCGATGGTATTTTGACCCTTAATAATCGTCAGAGACAGGCGGAGAGGGTGACCTATAGTCGTGGCACTGGCGTGGGAGGATCTGGAGGGGGGAGGGGACCTGGGAGGCCTCCAGCTACAGATATCCCTCTGGAGGAGCTTCTTGCGTACGAGGAGCCAGAGGCCAAGGCCTCCAGAACTAGGCGAAGAGGGGCGACATTAGCTCTGACAGCGATAGCTGGTTTAATTGGGGCGACATTGCCCTCGAGGCTGCCTCACCTTTGGGACATCATGGTGGTGAAGAATCAGAAGAAAAATGAGATCAAGGTTGATAATGAGGGGAGTGAGGTGCAGAGGGAACGAGTCAACAATCTCATATTTGGACTCCAAGTCTTGGAGATTGTTTCACCTAGTCTTGATAAGTCGTTACTATCACCAGTTTTAGACTGTCTGCCGAGATTGTGTAGTCTATTGGAGCACGAGTATAAAGGGGTGAGGCACATGGCTGCTAGGTGCATCGCGACATTGGCTGTGTTGGATACTGAGAAAACAATGGATTTCGTTGTCAAGTTGGTTGTTCCTCTGCTGGAGGCACGTAATGCTGAAGCCAGTACTCATGTTTTAGCAGCACCGAATGAGGTTGATGTTCGGAGGCAGGGAGCTGCTGAGGCACTCACCTGTATCGTTGATAGTCTTGGGGTCAATGTTGTGCCGTACGCTGTGTTGTTCATGGTACCATTGCTCGGTAGAATGTCTGATCAGAATTACGCGGTCAGATTGGCCTGCAATGCAACATTCGCAACATTGGTTCAGCTACTGCCACTGGATCCAGGGGCTATTTCTGATCCCCCGAATCTTGTGGAGGAGAAGGCGCAGGAGAGAAAGTTCTTGGAGCAGTTGTTGAATCCTAGGAGCATACCTGACACTCAGCTGACGATTCCAGTGGCAGCTGAGTTGAGATCTTATCAACAGCAGGGGTTGAACTGGCTGGACTTTTTGAATCGGTACAGGTTGCATGGGGTTCTTTGTGACGACATGGGACTTGGTAAAACGTTGCAAACACTCTGCATCCTGGCTCTGGATCATCACAGGAATACTCAGGCTCCACCAAGCCTCGTCGTCTGCCCACCGACTCTAACCGGCCACTGGGTGTACGAAGCTGAGAAATTCTTTCAAGCCGAGGATCTCTCGGTCATTCAATACGGGGGATCCCCGCCAGAACGAGAAAAACTCAGACCTCGAGTCTCCCATTACCGCCTAGTCATAGCAAGTTACGATATTGTCCGGAAGGACATCGAATTCTTCGAGAATGTCCAGTGGAATTACTGTGTCCTCGACGAGGGACACATTATAAAGAATGGAAAAACCAAGAGTGCGAAAGCTGCAAAAAAACTTCACGCCTATCATCGTTTAATCCTGTCAGGAACCCCAGTGCAAAACGATGTCCTAGAACTCTGGTCATTATTTGATTTCCTCATGCCAGGATTCCTCGGTTCTGAAAAGCAATTTGCAGCGAGGTATTCTCGGCCAATTCTGGCCTGTCGAGAGCCCAAAGCTGGACCCAAAGAGCAAGAGGCTGGAGCCCTAGCGATGGAGGCCCTTCACCGTCAGGTTCTCCCATTCTTACTGAGACGAAACAAAGAGGATGTGTTGAAGGATCTCCCCCCTAAAATCACTCAGGATTATTACTGCGATCTCTCACCACTACAGAAGAGTCTTTATGAAGACTTCAAGATGCGTAACTCAGCTACTCTGATTCCAAACTCATCGCCAAGCTCAACAACGACTAATCCACCTAGGGGACAGGTGTTCGAGGCATTGAGGTACCTCAGGAACGTGTGTAATCATCCTAAATTGGTTTTGGGACCGAGACATCCGCTTTATCAGACTATTTGTGCGCAAATGAAGCAGCAGCAGACGACTTTAGGGGAGATTGAGCATGGAGCGAAGTTGCCAGCGTTGAAGCAGTTGCTGTTGGATTGTGGCATTGGACAGCAGAATCAGATGCTTCAGAAGGCACAGCCTGTGATGGATGGACAGGCACAGCAGCAGCTGGTCAGTCAGCACAGGGCTCTGATTTTCTGTCAGCTGAAGGCTATGTTAGACATTGTGGAGAAGGATCTGCTAGCTGTGCATCTGCCCTCTGTCACGTATTTGAGGCTCGATGGGGGAGTCCCGGCGACACAGAGACACGCTGTCGTCGCCAGGTTCAATGCTGATCCCTCTATTGATGTGCTACTGTTGACTACTCAGGTGGGAGGGCTAGGGTTGAATTTGACAGGGGCAGATACTGTCATCTTCGTGGAACATGACTGGAATCCGATGAAAGATCTGCAGGCTATGGACAGGGCACATAGGATTGGACAGAAAAAGGTGGTCAATGTTTATAGATTGATCACCAGGGCTACTGTCGAGGAGAAGATCATGGGACTTCAGAAGTTCAAGCTGCATACTGCTAACACAGTCATTTCCACGGAGAATGCGGCGTTGGAGACTATGGGAACCGAACAAGTGAGTAGAGAGTATTATTAGGGGGCTTTACCCTGGTAAAACAGTCAGATTATTTCCGACTGGGTGATAAAAACTGAATCGGCGTTAATGATGTTTCTCTCTTTGCCCGTTAAATTCCGATTGGCTGGTAGGTAGAGTTTAGAGTTTGGAGTTTGGCTTACTCCCATTAATTCTCATAATTTTCTTAAACTCCAAACTCTACCTACCAGTCAATCGGAATTTAACGGGCAAAGACAAAAACATTAACGCCGATTCATTTTTTATCACCCAGTTGGAAATAATCGGACTGTTTTATCAGGGTAATTAGTGGAGAGTACTTTTTGATTCTTGATGTTGGTGGATTTTTTGACAATTCGAGCGCGGGGGGTTTCTCAGATGTTTCGAACACTGCACGCTGAGAGGAAAAACAGGTTGTCAAACAAGACTTGTTTAAATTTGCAAAATTGCAGCGAAAAATTTTCATTGCAAAAATAGATTCATTTCCAACGAAATTTAATTTACTGCACATGGAAAAAATGTCATTTCTAGCATGAACTGTTCCCAATTCTATATTAGAATACGTATTTCGCTCTCGAAAAATGGTAATTTTATGCAAAACAAGGGCTTTCACTTTTCCATTTTTTGTTACGGTCATCCAATACTCAAAGATGACCGATTCTTTATCAATTCAACCACCTATTTTTTTCAAGATCTCAAGAAAATAGGTCTTAAAAAAACTGTACTTTCATACTCATTAAAAGTACTCATTGTCAATTTTTCCCAATTTTGTAAGCATCCGGAGTGGAGATAAGTGGATCTAAAAATATTTCGTGAACAATTGGATATCTAAGGAAATTGACCTTAAAGAAAAAAAAATTGGGACGAAAAAATTCAGGTTTTTACTTCAATTTTTCAAATTAATTTCTTGGCATTCCGGCCGCAAGGCCGCACTTCGCGTCAGTGAATCCCTGTCTATAGCCGTTATGACGAAAAATATTTTCTGATTGATATGATTGTAGCAAATTCATATTCGCCAGAAAAGTTTTCTTCGGCCTAATGACGACATGTACTATTTCATTCCAACAAATTATTCATTTTTTACAATTTATTTGAAAATTCTAGCTGCATGCGTATTTGTACCCCCCTCCCTGTCCCGCGTACGACAGTACACGGAGATTCCTGTGATGTTCGATTATGCATTACGACAAACCTGAATCAGTTGTTCGCAAGATTGCTCATTCTTGTCACAAAAATTTGCCTCTTTTGGCCAATTCCAAAGTTTTTCTTGTCCCAACCGAAAATAAACTTGTGGCAAGAATTTTTCGCTTCTGAAAAATCGTTCCTTCTCTCAGTGTGCATGGTTTTCGATACATAGAAAGAGTTCGCACCGTTCAAAACAAATTATTAGAGGCAGAAAACAATCTTTTAAAACTAATGTTTATAAATTTACCCAGTAACTAATTTTCATTCGATCTTTGCAGTTACTAGATTTATTTTCATTGGACAATGGAAAAGAAAGAAAAGCCAGTGAGCTGGGTATACCCCGATCAATCACTAATGTACCTGGATTGAGCAAAACAGTGTTGGAGATACTGCCAGAACTCTGGGAACAACAGCAGTACGACGATGAGTACGACCTCGACTCATTTCTGTCGATGCTGAAGGGTACCACCAACTAATGACAAGAAATTTTAATTACGAAGAAACAATACAACGATGTCAAGTAAGAATTCGAAGACTTCTCACGTATGAGACAGCCATAAAACTGTCAATTGAGACAAAAACACTATTATCTATGTCAAATCAATTATAAAAGTTAAGGACATGATCAATTAATTAAGTAAGTTACTATGAGTGCTTTTTTTTGTTTCTTTATTTATAATAACTTATAAAAAAAACGAAAATCATCAATACAATTCCCTATTTGTACCAGAAAGCTGTTGTAGTTTTTCCTCATACTCTTCGTTGAATTTCTGTACTGGAGGGACATGTTATTTAATGAAATACAGTCAGTGACTCAGTCATGAAACTTTTAGGAAACTGGGCCCAATTATGGAACTGTATTGTTTTCAATGACTTAGAAGTTTTGTTGAATGGATGGTTTTGGTTTGAGAGAAAGTATACAGTCCATAGTTTCTATTCAACTTAGTTCATCGCAGTGAATCCATAAGGTCACGTAGATTTTCGGCTAAATGTAAGCTAATTCTATAACTGAGTCACTGATGGTAAATCTTCTTTGAAAGATATCTCTAAATCTAAAGAATATGACGAAATTTTTGCTGAACGAAGTGAAATCCACAGAACAAGTTATTTTTGAAATTGCTGTTTTCCATAGATTCAGAGATATTTGTTAGGATTTCACCCCTCATTCCCTCAGAAGACTTCTGGTAACTGTCACCATAAAAAAGTTAGTGGTCCATCAGAACCTTCAGACCAACACGATACACAAGTTCTTGAGTCAAGAATATTTGGACTGTTCAATCAGGTAGAAGAAAATAGACATTTCCTCGAAAATATTCTGGATTCCAAAGACATTTTTCGTAGGAAATTATGGGATCTGCGACAAAGTTGTTTAGACATCTGTTTCTAAAATAACTCATTCTCGAGATAATTTCGTAATTAACACAATTATTTTCAATTTGAAATTTTTTAAAATCGCTTTTCATCAATTAACTATGAAATCATTTCGGTAATTATAGGTGGTAAAAGAACATGTTGGGAGTCTTTTTCTGTGGGAAATTCCATGCTTCCCCAGAAAGTAATCCCCATTGTCTGCTAGAATCACTGGTCTAAGTAAATGCACAGTTGAATTATTACGTGACTTTTTAAAATTAAATTAAATAGTAAAATATAAAAAATGGATGAAAAATATTAGATAGGTGTTGTCATTTTTTTATCATGATGAAAAATCAAGGAGTTACAGCCAATCGAAGGAACATCTGCATTATGACAGTTCCCATCCCCTGTGACTTATTGACTTTTCATTATTTTTCGCAGTGCACAAATACATGTCTAATATTTGCTATTCAATTTTCATATTCAGCTGTAAGAAAAATTCATGCAAAACTCCCGTTATCAATAATGCAGAGTTTTAAGAACTACAACTCATTTTTCTTTCACTCAACCCTCATATTCTCGGCATGAGAATTATAAAAAACAAACTCAAGATTACTCAATTATTAAATTGAAAGACCCAAGAGATATTCTTTCATAATTTCGTAATTACGACATTTCGGACGCACAAAGAGTCCTTTTCAAATACACCAAGGAAAACAAAAACTGACAGTAAACGACCACTTGTCAGTGCTCCTCATGACTCGTGCTATGTATTTCTTTGCTTTTGATGTATTTATTCGGTCTTTATCCTTGAACAATAATGGATTAAAAAGAATGAATGGATCCTCTGATGAAAAGCACCTCGTTCGTCCAAAACGTTGGCAATTGTGGAAGAATTTGTCTTTTTATCCTTCCAATTTAACAATTCATCAAACTTAGAGTTGAAGTTTTTTTTTAATGAATGCAAACTGTTGGAGAATTTCCCATAAAAAATTCTAGTATCTCATTCTTTCCTGAAAAACCAGAAAACTCCCCAATTAGAACAAATATCCTTGATCCAACAATTATTTGTCGTCAATACAGTAACGAAGTGTAGAACTAGTCTAAGTCATTTCCACCTTATCATAAGTATTTACAGAATATCCCGGAACCTAATCAATGTGGTAATATTTCCCTGGAGATCTTTTTCGCTGACAAAAATTTAAGTTACAGATAGTAGATACCGTGACATTCCTCTCTCGAGGGGAGACGAATCCCTTGTGCCTGTAAAATTTTGAATTAAGTTTTCTCCCATAAAGTATGGGTCACATGAAAAAGGTCCATTTGAGCACATTCACTTTCCAAGATATTCACTACACGTTTCTCTCTTAACTTCGATTTAAACCAATGACACAGTTATGTTTCTAATCTTTCCTAATTTTCTTACACTATCGGGGGGATTTTTGGCTTAAACTTTGGTCTATGCGATCGAGGGTGTCGGAGTACAAGGATTTATAATCCAATAATACCAAAGGGCCTTTTTCATGTGTAAGGGGAGAAAAATCTGGTAGAAGTTGGCCTTGAATTTTAGTAAACGTGTCATGAATTTTTTCTAATATTTCTAGTAAAAATGCGATGATTTTGGGAAAAATGTCCATATTTCACGGACAAATTTCACAATAAAATTGTGATTTTTACTAGAGTTCATTCTTTTACTAGTTTTGGGAAAAAATCGTGAGAGGTCAATTCACTAAACAATTACTGAAATTTGGGGGTCATTTTTAACAGAATTCTCGTTCCGTGTGGACGTTCATTGGCTTTTGGATAGCGAAATGATCAATCGGTTCAAATCAACTTTGCTTTTCAATAAGTTTTCGTTAAACATCTCGAAGTTTAGGAGAGATTCAAATTATTGTAAAAAGCCTTTTTTACATAGAGAAAAAAGATTTTATTTTTGGGGATATATCTCTAATTTTTCAGAGTCTCTGTTCTCGTTGTAGGGATCCGCGATTTTTAGGATTGTTGATACTAACCAGAATTAGCATTATATCGATTAATTCAATGGACATTGATGACAAAATGCCTTTCTTTTTAAATTTCTCACTGAATTTTCGAATGCCACAGGTCCCTGAATACTAAAACGTTTCTTTCTCTTTGTATAGTGGCCATTCAAATATTACGTCATACGTTTTTCAGCTTTTTAGACCCCTGCCCCCTGTCAGTCACAGCCGTCATAAACATCGACCCCCCCCCCCCCCC